ACGGTAGATCTCAATCGGCGCCAGAGTGAAAGAGGGGGTGCGGCCTTGTGCAGGGGCATTTATAGAGGAAGGTGGCTGGTGATTGGGCAGCAAATTATTTTGATCTCTCTGACGTGTGACCTGGGGGTCACGAGTGATATCCCACTAGCGAAGTCCTAAGGGACGTAGCACCATGACGTAGAACCGGTTAACCGCGTAGTTTAAAATATTCCACGTTCTTTGAAATAGCAACCATTTCGAGCCGCGTACTTTTCATAAGTTTATCTATGCGTTCTACTAGATCAGAGCTGAGACAGCGGCGCTAAAACCCGCAACAGCTTCGGTACCTTTGCGCACAGAGAACTGTTTTAATCTTCCCATACTGTGCTGCGGGTTAAAGCTTTTTTAAGCAAAAGACGGCTTGTTAACATGGTCAGAGCAGCGAGTTACAACCCGCGTCTCGCAGGTCTCCGCTAAAGTTTAAAAGGGATGTGTGTGGATCTGATCCAATGACAAGGACCAGCAGCACAAACATGTTTCATGTGTTTGACTGTGGCCGCGTATTTGCGAGGATTCTTTGGGCTGCGAGACACAGAGGTGCGCGACAGACCGGTATGTGTGTGTGTACAATACATGTATGTGTGTGTGTGTAAATATAAGCTCCAATGTAGTTCTGACCTTCACTAGTGTGGAACTTTGGCGGTAACAGAGGGGAGAGATGATGCGTGTGGATGTTACGTATGGAGGGGGGGAAAGTGTCTGTGTGTGTGTGTGTGTCTGTGCGCGCACGTGCGCGGCTGCGTGCATATGTGGAGCGTGCGCCATGAAAGTCGCCCGTAGTCTACTAATGCATTGGCGCACACAGCTAGATACGGACCCGCTCGTCACATCGTACAAATAGGGCTTAAAATAGCCTTATTAAGAGACCTCCTCTCTCCGCTTTTCTTATTTTTAACCGACAGCTTTGACCGGTTAACGCTGTGACGGTCAACCACCGGTTAAACGGTCACCGATTTACATCCCTAATGGAAACCCTTTATAACATTCTTTGAAAAGCCAACAACTCAGGTTTACCCTTGATGTTTGTTTTGTTTTGTTATATATTTCTTTCGTTCGACTTTCAGGTCTTTAATAGACTGACGTTTAACTATATTCGAGTGCAATGAATCTGTGTGGTTTGTGTGGTATATGTGAATTGGTGACAGTCCGGTGGGTGGGGGGATCGGGTTTTCTTTTGTTTTGTTTATTAATTTGTAATGTGAAAAAGCAATAAATATATTTAAACACGAAAACTTGTTATGAGCTCAAATCTGTTATTTCATTTTAAATTACATACATCTACATCTTTCACATATATATCCTCAAATAACAGGTCACATGTACCAATCTTCATTTGACCTGTTCTGAATAAAAGTTTAAAGTGGAGTTATTCTAAAAGTTCACTGGATATGAAATACTTTACGATTTCGAAGCAGATTTTCCAATCTCATTATTATCATCATTATTTAAATAACACAATTAGCACCACACTTTCAGTTAAAACAAAAGCCGATAACAAACAAGTGTCATACGTAATACACAACGTTTGTACCATTTCTAGCCAAACCCCAGCCGGTAGATTGCATTGCAGTAATAATTGCATAGTAGTTTAATTTCAGAAGTTGGATTGTACTTTAGACAACTAAATGTGCATATTACATACTGTCCCTTTAAGTAGAATAGATTAGATGGTTGTTGATTGTCTTTGTCGCTGATTAATGACTAAAAAGAAGGAATACAATGCGGTGGACAGACAGATCCATAGATAGATTTCAGTTTGAGACTTTATTAATCCCAGGGGAAATTCTGCCTCCTCAGCTGCCAGAAAACACAAGACTTCAATCCTGCGCTGGGATGACAGAGAGTGTTTGTGTTGCAGGGAAAGCATTTGGTGTTAAACCTTAAGACAAACTTGTAAATTCTCGCACAAGATGACACAGAAGAAAGTGGCCTGCACCGAAAAACTCTGATTAAAGACTGATTATTGTGTGACTCCTAAGACTTTGTGTTGCAAGACTCTTTCCGCTGCATACATAACACAATGCCTCACCCACTCCTGTGACAGTGAAGCAGGGCTGTAGATGAGCTGATAACCAACTGTGAAATCTGCTTTTAATGAATAAGACATTTTCCGTTGCTGTTCGAATGGATGGAAACAATAACAGTGGAACAGGCCACTCATTCACTTCAGCGGGTCAAAGATGGACTCGGTTCACACCGGTTCGCACGTATACACATTAATGAGATTATAAACACTGCAGTTAAGCGCCGTAAAAAAATAAAAAAATAAAAAAACATTTTGTACTTAAATCAAATTGCTAAAATGTTTATGTACGGGAAAATGAATTAACAAGGAAAAGTTAATATTTGGCGATTGTTTTGGTTCTAAAACAGATAAAAGTATTGATTCTCATGTTGTCTATCGGATCTGTTGCATTAGATAGAGATAGATTTAACTTCCAGTCACTAAGTACATAGATATTTAGGCAGTGTATTGAAGTGGTTCTGTTGTTCTGTTTATTCCTATTGTGATTCTGTGTGCTGTACTGTAAACTCAAACATATTTCCAATTTTCTTTACAATAGTCAGCCTCATTGGTGTCAAACTATCACTAAAATATAAAACAGATTCACCAAAATAAGTCAAAATGATAATGATGAAATATTTAAAAACTGGGCAAAGAACGTCATGTCTTTTCAAATAGTAAATAAACTATAGATGGATGGACACAAGATATGATAGATATATTTGTTTTGATTTCATAAACTAAAACAATATATTCAGTATTTTAAAAGTCCCTGAAGGTCATGCAACATCTTGTAAGTAGTAAGTCTAGTTTCCAGTGATAAGATTAAGATAAAACAGGCTGAAAAGTACTATCAACAAGCATTATATAATTGAGCACATGTTTGTCACTGTCATTGCATTAAACAAACAGCGCCGTGGACTGAAAAGCCATAAAGCTGTTAAACTGTGCAGATTGTGAGTTTCACACGTCGCTCTTTTGGCACCGCGCCACAGGACACAGTCTTCTGTTTTTAGTCCTAGACGCTCAGGAAATTCAGTGAAAGTTCCTCCCAGGGGGAAAATGGAAATCACATATTATGATAAGCAAAAACACAGAAAGATGAATTAACTAAAAGCAGGGTGTGGTCTGGCGCTGGAAAATGATTTTGCACTAAACAACATGTAAAAGCCAGTCACTCCCACTTTATGGACCCCGGGAAGAATTCTGCCGATGAAGATGCAAATAAATAAAACTATAAAAACTGACAAAACTCCAGCTAACTCTCTCCAGACCCTACAGAGCAAAACTAAGGATGAGCAACTTATCAAATTCCATACTGTATATATAGCATTGAGGTTAGCAACTACTATTACTGTTAATTTACTTTACTTTACTTTACAGTGGTTCCCAACTTTTCTATTCAAGTGCACCCTCTCCCCACCTGTAC